CCCTAACCTCTTCTATATTACTTCTTTTTTCATACCATCATAAAGTTAAGATAGAATTTTTACTACAACATAGTTATGTGTCGTCCAAAGTGGAGTTTGGGGGAATTAGGAGCTGGTTTCTATTGCTATTAAATTCTTATGTTCTGTTGTTGTTCATAGCGGTTCACTTAACACGGGACCCTCTGGGTTCAATTGACGCGTTAAGTAGGGGTACAACTGTATATATATATATATATATATATATATATATATATATATATATATATATATATATATATATATATATATATATATATATATATATATATATATATATATATATATATATATATATATATATATATATATATATATATACAGTAGGAGTATGCTATATGAACGGATCCTACTACGAATATTCCTATAACTGACGGTTTTACCTATAAAATTGAGAATGCTATAACGAGCAACTCCTACAACGAACATAATTTAAATTTTTTTTTTTTTCTAATTTATTGTTTTATTATTACAAATATTAATGATATTCTTTATTTCAGGGTTTAGATGCATATTTATGCACTTTTTACAATTTTACAATTTTATTTTATATTTTTCAGTGTTAAGTGGTTGTATTTGGGGGCCTGGAGCAGTTAATCCTATAACAAGCGAATGCTGTAACGAACAAGGTTCTAGAACCAATTAGATTCGTTATAGCATACCCTCTGTATATATATATATATATATATATATATATATATATATATATATATATATATATATATATATATATATATATATATATATATATATATATATATATATATTATATATATATATATACAGTTGTACCCCACTCGCGGTCAATAGAACCCAGAGGTCCAGCTAAAGTGAAATCAGCGTTAAGTGAACAACAGAACATATGGGATTAATTCCAAATAGGAACCCAGCCCGACCCCCAAACTCCACTTTTCGGCGACAAATAACTATGTTGTAGTAAAAATTCTATCTTAACTTTATGGTGGCATGAAAAACAAGTAATATAGAAGAGGTTGGGTTAGGAAAGATAAGGTTAACATAGGAAAAATAAAAATAGGTTAAAAACGAAAATTTTTTGGAACACTTACGGTAGTAGAAAGAGATGAATTAAACATCACGAGGGGATGGAGGCTGGTTCCGAGGCAGGGCAGATTACTGCCCTCAGGTGAATCACCATTACTAAATTGAATCACCATTACTAGAGTGAATCAATGTCACTGTCACTTACAGTTGTCATGGCTTCCTGACAAATCCCTCGAAAAATCAACTTCACTCTCCCTATCACTGGCTTGGACTGGCTGTGGTGGAGTTCTTGAGCGAAGAACTTCGGTTATGCTTTTTCTGGCGGCTGGTGTTGATGTTGTCATTGATACACTATGATGTCTTGTCCATAGCCTGCACCAGTGGTATGGAAGAGCGTCATGGCGTTCATCGTCATTATCGGGGAAGCTTGATGGACTTAATTTTCTGTAAACTCTATGAGACACTTAATATCACTATGACAGAAACTAGGTTCTTAACCGGAGAATGGCGCACCTTCTTCCTCCCTCTTCTGGCGGGTTCTTCTTCCAACATCCTAAATGCGGCAGTCACTTCAGGATCTGATCACCTCCATGATGTCTTCGTTGGTGGTTTTGGGAAGCCTTCAGCTGTAATACTATTTGTAGCAGCTTCTCTGTAAGGTCCACTGCTACTGCAGTCTGAACCTGATGATCACAGGTTGCTCTCCTCTCACCTGGTATGCCATGCCTTTTATGTCTCCATGCGTGACGAATGTAGCAATAGTCAGCAGATCCCATACCCCCTCCCACCAAGAGTCTACAGCTTGTTTAGCGTTAAACTTCTTCCAAAAATTGTTTTGTGAGAAGTTCTTGAGTCGCCGCCTCTTGTTCCTTGTCCTCGTCGCTTTTACTCTGCGCTTCTTCGGGTGTCACCCAGCTTACATAGCTCCATCACTTGGTGTTGGTAGAGAGTACGTTCCAGGAGCTTGAACTTCTTTGCAGAGTACATAGCTTTCACATTGCAGATCAACTCCTGGTCCGCAGAACGAATTAATGGCGTAGTGTTGGGAGGAAGGAAGAAGACCACTTTACGTTGGGGTGACGATCATAAGTAGGCGAGTCTAGTGCGTGTCCAAGGAACAACAAAATATTGGAGGAAACATTCTGTTGCTCGCAGAATTTCTCAGGAACAAAACAGTTGTCAAACCAGAGGGACAGAAGGGACATCCACGCCTTCGTGCGGTTAGCCAGTGGACAGTAAAGCATTCATGTCCATATTCTTGTAAATGCGATGTGACTTGAACTGTGCGATACCCGATAACTTTGGTTTACAGGTACCGGAAACATTGGTAGTAAACAGAACGGTGATCGTTCTTCCATCTTCCGGCGCACCTTCTTTCATGAACTGGACAACGAGGTCTTGGAAGGTAACTTTTTCCGAAGTTGAGTTCGTCCATGTTATACACACCTGAGTCGTCACTGTACTGTCCTTCCTCCATAATCTCACGTAAAAGCGGAGAGGAAAATCTCTAGCCGCGCCTGACATCGCTTTTCGCTTCCTCACCACCAATGTTGATGTTGCTGACTTGTTCCTCTTCTTAAACCTATGCAGCCAACCCAGAGGAAGCATTGAAGGGTTTGGGCTCTGCAATTCCCAGTTCGTGTCACTGCTGCGTATAGCTCACGTCGTCTCCTGCACTGGTAGCGTGTCCACCGCCATCGTGCGCGTAGCGCCTGGCGCGCAAATAACTCACAGCAAGATTTCCACTTTTGCCAGCACCCTGTTCTGCTTAATACCCTATTCAGATAAAGCCTACCGTTTTATTGATTTTCATGTGGTCTTTTGATCTTGGCTGCATCATACTTCTTGATTGTCTGAGATAAATTAGATTCGTTGGCGCCCATGCTGGTATGGCGAGATCAACTTGGCGTCTTCCTTTCTCCAAATCTTGAACAATTTGGTGCTTCCTCGTAGCTTAATGAGCGTCGTGTCTTCTTTGGTTTAGTGCCGCTGGGTCCAGGTGAGAAAAGGTCTCTCTGGGGCGGTGGTGGTCGGCGGAAGCCATTTGCAGAACAATGGATGTGGCGTTAACCGAGTAGCAGGGATGAAACTGCCTTGGCTAGGTCAAGCGTCGTCTCTCCTCCCTCCCTCCTCCCGGGGTAGTCTATCCTGTCTTTAAGCCAATGCAGCTAGCAGCAGAGGGAGTAGGGCTGCATGGCCAATCACAGTCGAGGCGTCATATGGCGTCGGTGATAATGTCCTCGTTAACGAACACAATTTTCCACAGAGTCGTTTTAACCGAATCCATTATTTCAATGGGATATTGGGTAACTAGTTCTAGCTCACAGAAAATTACAGTCTTTCAAGATTCTTATACTGCTAGAGACAGCTGGCAACTCACGTTTGTTTACTATACTAAGTAGTAAAATTATGAATGAAAAAAGTGATCGGTGATTGGTTACTTAGTTTCGCTTAATTAATGGTGGGCTTTTTGTCTTTCGTATTTTATTATACCTTTCTGTGGTATATAGTGTTAATTTGATTTTAAAATGGACAGAGCAATGGGCCAACCTTTATGAATTTATGCTTAGACAATTAAACATAAGAAAAATCGGTAAGTATGTTAAAGAACATCATGCATCGGCACAGCTGTTTGCAGGCTGTTTATGAGGTTGTCTGTTTATCATTAATTTATACTAATATTATCTTGAAACGCTAATCCCTTCGGTAATTAATCCAGTTGTATGTAAACCGATGCTAAACAGACTTTTTCTAATGACACTGATTTCATGCAACACAAACTGCTGTTTTTATTCGTGAATTAAGCAGAATCATCGGTTCACTGCTAACTGTAGTAAGTGTGTGTGTGTGTGTGTGAGAGAGATAATGACATTGTTCTATTGAAGATGATGGTATATAATCTACTGAACTATCCGCCTGATGGTGTGATCTAGTGCGGTAGCATATGCCTAATACTTACAAGCCTTTATCTAGCAATATCACTGTCATTCCAAGACTCTGAATATTGTAAACAGCAATGGTATTTCTTTCGTTGAGTGACTAGTTGCCCCCAAAAAAAAATCTTTATTTCTGACTTGTGTAGATTACATCACCTTTAGTCTGGTGTCTTTAAAAATATTTATATATATATATTTTTTTTCAAATATGTGTATGA